AATTTTATATAAACATAGAGTTCAATGGTCTTTTGACACAAATGAAGATGTCAAGTTAAGCACATACAAAGGAGCATACCTATCCAATCTCCAAAACAAATACTACATTCATATAAATATGTATGTATACATATGTACATGTCATGAGTGTTTGCGTTTATCCGTGCTTTACTACAAGCTGTTGATGATTTTAAGAAACAAAAAAAAAAAAAATAATATTAAATCAAGAATTGCGTTAGGTTAAGATTCACATACACTTACGGGTTATGTTTTACCCCTAAAATGAAGTTGGGACTTTGACTTGTTACAAGTAGAGATTTTCAACGGAGAAAAGAGAATAAATGCTGCCGCTTACCTACCACAATAAAAAATATGTTTGTGTGACTTTTATAAGGGCTGGTGTAGTTCATGTTGCATTTCCTGTAAGTTCTTTCTCTCTGTCACCTGTGTTCTCGACATTCCTCTCCTAAAGGATATTTCTTACATGTACATACAAATGTACGCGTATGAACCCAGAAAAAAAAATTTGAAGTTGTTAAAGAAGAAGGGATATTTTCATGATTTCTTTTGTACGTATTCTATTTAATGCGTTTTAAATACATGCCTAAATTCTAATATATTTGTCATCAGTGAAGGCATGAAAAATGCACCCAAATTCACTCATGTAACTCCACTATAGGAATTGTAATATTTTACTATAATTTGGTATTCTCTTAGGAGATTTAACGAAAACGTGCATTTCATACAATAAATATTAAAAATTACATTAATTTTTTTATTAGATTTTTGTTTTTGTAGGTACCTACCTACCTAGTTATATTAAGTCCGTTTTAACATTAATAAGAGAAGGAAAAAACCAAGACTGTTTAACGGATTTTAAAACACAATGGGTATTTTTCCTCTGCATGAATTTAAATCCAATAAAATCAGTTAGTTATGTTTTATCTTATTTTATTTTTATCAATATCACACAAAAAAATGATTTAAATATTGATAATTAAATCGAAATACCATTATTAATGCATTTTTAAATAAATATAGTGCACCAATGAAAATTCGCTTGAGAATCATCGAATATTCATTGGTTATAAGAACTCATTTAAATGGCGAACTATTTTTCCAAATACGAACACATGCATGCCAATGACACGCTAATGTTAAAATCATGCATGTTTCCCCTAAATATGAACCAGTTCATTATCACTTCAACCCATGCATTTACTACTTTTTTTGCACGTCTTTTTTTGCTGGGAACGTTTGTATGGAAAATCCAAATATTGTTCATATTTTACAAAATTTAAGCTAAGAAAATTTTGAATAAGCGTAGGAAATCTAGAAACTGTGTTTTCTATCACTTTACATTGTTAAATTTAAGGTTTATGTATTAATTTTATTTATTTTTAATTCAAACAGAAATTAAATATAAATACATATTTTCCTACTGTTTACACATTGTTAAACTTAAAGTTTATGTATTAATATTTATATTTAATTTCAAACGGATAATCTTATAATTTTTATCTCAATGTTGTTTTATGATTTTGATTTGGCTATAACTTTTAAAAATTAATAATTTTAAATAGTACTTTTTATTCGGGTTTTTTTTTTGTAAATATACAATAAAATAAATACATATGCATTTTTATGCATTCTCAATAATTTTTTAATTTTAACAAATTTTTATTAAGATATCCATCTCTTGTTTTTTTAGTTTAACATTTTGCTCTCAAATTACCGTATACTTTATCTTCCCCATAAATGTGTATAGCCCAGTGAAAAAATGAAAAAGTTTCCGTATATTATGTTATATTTGTTTTGAAATCCTTTTTGTACAGAACCGTGAGGGACAAAATGTTGCAGCTTTTGTAAAAATGCAATCATTTAGTTCTTGCACTCTTCAGCAGCAAGTTGTGTTTTTTCAATTCTCTACGTATTTTATCAAATACACTTAGATTTTCTGACACCAAAAATTTATACATATATAGAATATGAGTTTATGAGTTAATATTCTAATGGATCAAAAAAATAAAAGTTAATATAAAGTTGAAATAATATAAAGTGAAGAAATAGTTTTGGAAAGAGGTGAAAAAACATTTAGTAAAATTAAAACAACTTAATTTGAATATTAAGAAATCCAATATTTTTATATGTTGTAATAAAATAAATATTAATCAAAGTTATAAGTTCGACAACAATAATAAAAACATATTTAAATCGAAATAAAAATTACGGTAATTTATATGTATGTATATACACTTATTATACATAGATAGGTATATTTTTCTATTATAATTTGCCCACACCCATATTTTTGAGTTACAAAAATGCATGTAGTAAAAATGTTTTATATTAATTGTATTTGCTTTTGAAATTTGTAGTTTATTGTATACATATCCTATAGTAGTTTCCTAGATTCCCACATCTTAATTTTTACCTCCTATTCTCCTTTTTACTGCTAATATTTGTACGCAATGTATGTGTGTATTGCCTTCTATATTACATGCAAACTATTTGTATTTTTTACATATTCACATATGCATATACATGTCTATATATACTTGTGTATGTAATTATGTATGTATGAGTCTACATTGTATATATGTATATATACTTGTTGTTTTTGCATCAACACCATTCAATGATTATAATTACAAAATGCTGCATCTCTTTTCTGTTTCCTGGCCTCTTTTCATTTGCTTCCATATTAAACAAACTTGCTTAAGCAGTAGCATCCTTATTGAACGCCCCCACACATAATTTACAGTGTATAGACTAAATATGCATATACATATCCATACATACATATAATCTATAGCATCATCTTCTTCAGTGCAAAGTTTGTTGTACTATTTCTCTATCAGAAATTGCAGTATTTTCATTCTTGAATTGTAAACGAATATAAATAAACAAATAATACAAAAGCCGCTCTACATTTGAAGAAGATAAGTAGAAAATAAACGAAAACTGGCCCGCTTTGCTCTTTTAATCCACCCCAGTTGCCTATATTTTAAAGCATACTTTTAGGTTAGTTATATTTTCAATCTCTCTGTTGTTTATATGGATATATATTTCCTAATTCGGAGCATACATTTAGGGTTCTCTCGCGTTAAAAAACTGTTGCGGAAGAGTTTAATTTTCATTGCAATACTGTCACGCTCTCTTAAATTGTTCAAAATTTGCTCAAGTATTGGTGTTTAGTTTTCTTTTTTTCTTTAATTAATCTTGCAATTTCTATATCAAATATTCGTATTTTTTACATACATATGTATGTATGTTTCTCTTTTTCATATGAAAACGTTACATTGCGGTCTTTTATAGATTTTTGTAGTTTTTATTCTTTTCAGCCGCACCCTAAATTGTTTACCAATCTCTGTGTTTTATGTGATAATTTTCTGCAACTAGAGTAAATTGCAATTTTTCTCTCTTTTTTGTGTACGTTTCTGCAAGGTGTGTCTATAAAAATTCTTAAATGATAACAGTTTTATAGTTCTAAGGTTTTATGAATGAAAATTTCTTTATGCAGATTATGATACCTGGTTGTTTATTTTGTTTACATACAATTAACGAGCTTAGAAAAGTCTGACTTCTTGTTTAAATAAGTTAATAATATATAAGACTGTGTATAATATACAGACTAAAAAGAAAGATTGTTTTGTTAGGTCTTGTTTAGTTCATTAGTTAACTAAAACTAACTGATGCTAAATTTGAAAACAATAGGATAAGGAGAACTCATGCTGTAAAAATAATAATAATTGAATGATAAAAAATCAATCTAAACAGAAAATGTTTAAATTTCTTTTGAAAATTTCTATACAGTCTTGAAATCATGAAGTCTTTTACAAAAAAACTTTAACATTAATCCGTATTATCTTAATGTATGTTTTTTTTCTTAATGTTTAAATTGACATTTTTCATAAAAAAATAAAATAAAGTTCGAAAAACGCCAATTTGGCCCTATTTGAGACCATTCTGTCAGCTTTAAAATAAGCTTATGGTTTTCAGTATATTCAAGGTATTTAAAATTTTTATAAAGATGTCTTGGCGCTTTTATAATGTCTGTGGCATTCAGCGCGGCTCAATACTTTATAAAAGTATAACAGTCTTAGGATTTCGACTTTCTCAAAATATTGTCGGCCTGTGTAATCCAATGAAATGATAAAAGTTTATATGTGGGCAAGTTCATGTCAAGTGACCCAACTTAAAAAATCGATTTTGATGAAAAGGTTGGTGCTATTGGATAGTAGGCCAGACACAAGTTTTAGCTCTATCGGTCAAGAACTGCCGGAGTTAGAGGGGGTCAAAGTTGCACATTTTAGTCATACAGGGTTTTATTCAAATGAGTGTAACTTTTCACCTATTGGTCCTAGCAAAAATTGTCCAATGGAGTTGAGATAGCTATTTCTTCATTGTTTCCAAATTTTTTTTTAATTTTCTTAATTTTTTTTAATATTTTTTCAAAAAATATTAATGCGAGTGGGATATCTTTAAAAAAACAAATATTTTTTAACTTAATAATAAGATTTTTTCAATATTTGGCACTTAATTTTCCCTATTTTTTCAAAATGGACGTTTTTGTTGTATTTTTTTTTTTACTTAATGGAAAGCTTAGATTTATAATAAAATTCTAATATACACATTTTTAACTCGTTCTAAACAAGTAGCTGTTATAGTTCTTCAGTTATAGTTTTATGGTCTCTAGACAAACAGGAAGAAACTGTGAAAACTTTAAGAAAGTCGATACAGCAATAAACCGATTATAACCTCACATAGTATTTTGACTTTTCTTTTAGTGCGACTGCCGATATATATTTTCGGGATACTCTAATATCATGTATGAATAAATGTATGAATTGAGATATTCCCTGTGTGGTGAATTTTATACATTTTTTTCTCTGTGTAATACACCACACTTTTCTATTTTCTCTTAATTTTGGTAGACATGTTTTGTCGGTCATTATTTTGGTTTTCGTGCATTTTATCGTAAAATTTAATTTAGTTTATTTCGGTTCTGTTGAGTTGAAGAAACGTCTTCAGTTTTTCATTTTCGGCTTTACGTTTGATTTTATTTTTGTTTCGTTTATTTCATTTTAATTCTGAGTTTTTATTAATTTTCCAAAAGAAAACGTTACAAATTTTATTTGGTTCAATTTTCGTTATCTAAAAAGTAATGCTATAAAGAATTTTCAAAGAATACTTATTTAAATATTTGCTTTCTTTTATATTTTCATTAATTGAAACGTTTAAAATAAATTGTGTGTTTCGTAATCAAATGCATACAAAAAAATAAAAATAATTTAATAACATAATTAACAAATTAATTAATAACGCCAACAAATATGTCAATTCACATTTTGATAGAAAAGCTTAGTTAGATCTATAAAATGAACCTATCTTAAATCAAATGAAAATAATAAAAAAAAAAATTACTAGACTATTTCTAACCTCAATTAAAAAATACAAAAAAATTTTCAAAATGTTGGTTCCATTTTGGAAAGTAGTATTATCATAAAAATGTTAAGTATTATACCATATGGTTTATTTGTAAAAAAAAAAAGTACAAAACAATTTCTTAAAACTGCTAAAATTTTCCTTGTTAGTTCTTCATATAAACTGTACAATTTTATTTCCACTCAAACTGAATTATTTGAATCTTCTATTTTTTTAATAAATATATGTATTTATTTTTATGAAAATCATAAATCAGCTGCTTGTAATAATGAAAATGTGCATCTATAAAAAATAAAATCATAATAATATTTTCTTTTATGTTGATTTAAAAATAACGCATGCGCCCTAATGTTTATTACATGAAATTTCCATCAGCACCTCTTTATACATGTGTAAAATTCTTTTGAATATTTCTAAAAATATTTTAATATACGTACGTATGTATGTACATTCTACATACATAAATACATTTGTACGTAAAATCTCTTGCATTTTTTCTTATTGCTTGTGAACGAAATCGCATATTATCAAATCACGATGTAGTCTTGTCGTAAAAAGATTATAAATTTAAATATTAAACTATAATCTATTTTTTAATGTTTTAATTATGTTTAAATGTAATTTTCTATACAATTTCCATAAGACAATCAACTATACATTCAAAATCAATAGTAGAAGAGAGTAGGCTATTTGAATTATTTAACTTCTACTGTAACTCTTCAATGAATTTAAATTTAACTAGTATGAACCATGACTAAAAATATGAATAAATTAAAAATTATGGATCAGTGTTATTTTAAATACGAATTTCGCTTTGCCAAAATAATCTGTTTATCTGAAATTCGAAATTTCGTCTTCTAAATTATAAATTGCTTTGACTGGAGGTACTTATATTAGATATTTAAACAATCAAATTGGTCTCTAATTTGTTGTGTAGATTGAAATCTAACCATCCAATTACTACCTTAACCTTTAAGAAAGAGGAGACAACTTGTTGAACTTTTATATGGCTTCAATACTTACCTAGCTGCTATTTACCTATCTATGTACATATGTATATTTGTGGTGTTATACATATTTGTAGCAACTTATGACACTTAATAAGAACTTAAAGAAAATTAGAAAAAATTGCAATAATGATAAAAACCTAGCAATGACCTCAATTTAAATTTACACGGTTTATTGGCAAAAACATTATCTCTCTTTAGAATAAGAGTCATTTAATTAAATACAAAAATATATATATGTATATTTAACTAATATTATAAAACTTTTTTTCTTTTTCATTGCAGTAGTTTTTTGTAACAAATTGTGATCGATTTTCCTTTAGAAAAAATAAAAAGAAAAATCAAACAAACTTTTCCAAATTGCTTCTGTTAAAAGTAAAACAGAAAACAATTCTTTTACAAGAAGTATCAACAGTTGCTTTAAAGGGTCTTCAAATCTGGGAAAGGTATTTTCATTACAAATATGTTTGTTTAGAAAAATATTTTGTATAATTTTCGTTATTATTTTCTGTTTAATTACAGCTCATTTTATTTTAAAACTTTTTTATATATAAATATTTATATAAAGAAAAATAGAAATATAACACGAAAGTAAACAGACAGTATTATATATGAATTATTTTTTTAATTAAGTGTTTTAAAATCACAAAAGTAAATTATTATTTTCGTTTATAGAAGTTAAAGACAATCGACTATTTTTTAGTAAATTGTGTTCTTTTACCCTTAAACAGCCGTTAGTTTGTTTTGAATTAGTTTGACACTTTAAATCAATTTCAAAATATTTGTTTTTACAATTTCTCTTAATTTAACAACAATTAATTTCTAAATGATGACTACCAGCTCATCCACGGGCAACACTATGGTTGAGGGTCAACAACAACAAAATGGAGGAGCTGCTACCGCTCAAAATACACAAAATAACAATAATCCCAATGCGAACAACAACAATAATAATGATGACCCGAAAACCAATTTAATTGTGAACTACTTGCCACAAACCATGTCTCAAGAGGACATTCGTGCTCTCTTTGTTACCTTTGGCGAAGTAGAATCTTGTAAATTAATTAGGGACAAAGTAACAGGTTTGTAATTACCTTAATCAATTTGACACACTTTGAATATTTCAATCATGCTCTAGGCCAAAGTCTTGGTTATGGATTTGTCAACTATGTGAAACAGGAGGATGCTGAAAAGGCCATCAGCTCTCTAAACGGATTGCGTTTGCAAAATAAGACGATTAAGGTAAGTAAACCAAAATGGAATATTGACATTATAGCATATTTTATTTTGCTATATTTTTAGGTCTCTATAGCCCGTCCTAGTTCTGAATCAATAAAAGGTGCTAATTTATATGTATCTGGTCTTCCCAAAAACATGACACAACCAGATTTAGAGCAATTATTTAGTCCATATGGAAAAATAATTACCTCAAGAATATTATGTGACAATATAACGGGTGAGTAATAGTAATTATTTTACAAATATTAATTCCTTTTAATAAAATTCAGTTCATTAATGCTGAATTGTCAACATAAAATGAAAGATCTAGACATGTATATGTATGTACATTTTCAATAATAAGAGTAATTTTAATATATTTCCTCTTGAAGACATTTAAAATACCAAACATATTTCTTATTTTGTAAATATTATTTTCATAAATTAATTTATTTTTTATTTATTTTATTTACACAAAACCTTATGTTCCGTTAAGCCGGACCTATTGATCAGGGTATGTTTTATTATTTTAATTTATTAATAATTATTTCTTTACTTTCACAATCATACATTTCTTTCGAAACTCTTCTTTGTCAAATTAACTATAAAGGAAAAAAATAATGTCATGCTTTAATACCAATTATGTCATTTATCCATCTATTAGTAATTTAAAATATTTATTCGTATTGCATTGCACACAGTCATACTTGTGTAATAAACACACACAGTTCAGTTGAAATATTCTTATTTATGATTTCAGGTCTTTCAAAGGGCGTTGGTTTTATACGTTTTGACCAACGACATGAAGCAGATCAAGCTATTAAAGCTTTAAACGGTACTATACCAAAAAATGCCACCGAACCTATTGTGGTCAAGTTTGCTAATAATCCAAGTAACAATAAAGCCTTTCAACCACTTACGGCTTATTTGGCGCCACAAAATCCCAGAACTCGTGGATTTCCAACGGGTGCAGCAGGAGCGGCTGCAGCTGCCGCAGCAGCAGCTATACACCCAACAGCGGCCGGAAGATATAGGTAATAAATAAACTTGAAATAGATTTTAAGGGTTTTAAAAAATCTACTTTCTGGCTATTTGGTACCTTCAGTACTGGTTTAGCTAAAGTACTTTTTCTTCATAATTAGCCTTTGTCCAAGCTCAAGAATACAACCCACTTCTTCATTCATAATAGGCGTCGTAGCATGGTATTGTTGTATGTCGAAATTGTTTTTATTGTTTTCATTTTGTTTCGATTGTAAATATGAGAATCGCCTAGGGATATTTTATTCTATATTAAAAAAAATAATTCCGAAATGTATATCTAATAAAAGATGTTTTGAAATCAATTGACATTTCAGTTCTGTCATTTCCCGATATTCGCCGTTAACTGGAGATATTTTGGCAAATACCATGTTGCCAGGTAATCCTATCAATGGCTCTGGTTGGTGTATTTTCGTCTATAATTTGGCACAAGAAACCGAAGAAAATGTTTTATGGCAATTGTTCGGACCTTTCGGAGCAGTACAATCCGTTAAGGCAAGTAAAAATTCTAAAAGTGATGAATATTGCTTAAAATATGATTTCTCTTTTTAGGTCATACGTGATTTGCAAACAAACAAATGTAAGGGTTTCGGTTTTGTCACCATGACCAATTATGAGGAAGCTGTTCTAGCCATACAATCATTGAATGGTTATACATTGGGTAATCGTGTATTACAAGTTAGTTTTAAGACAAATAAAACTAAACAAACGTAATTATTAACAAAATTGACTGCTGTTGTTACCCACACCACCACCACATTGGCATCAACATTTAATAAAACTCTAAATAATAAAATAAATTTGACAAATTCCTCATCCACTAACCTGACCACCGCAAAAAGTAATGATTTGAAAACAGCCTCTACAACCACCACAACGACTTTAGCAAATTCTTGTTTGACAAACACATCGTCAACGACCACAACTACTTCTACTACCACTCAATCAAATACGACATCCAACACGACCTCCACGGCAATTATAAGCTCGAAATATTCCTTAATTAATAATCACAATAGTAACAGTAACAATAACAACAACAGCAATCAATATCAGCAGCTACAACAACAGAGTAAGAAAACCAAAACTACAACAACTATTATACAACAATCACAACAAAGACAACAACAAGAACAGCAACAATCATTGATACAACGTTCAAATAATTTAATTAATTCCTCACTTTCCTCCAACGCAAATAATTTCACTTCTAATCCGCATTCTTCCACAATGATTAAAACGGCGTCTAAATTTGTCTACAACAAACCCCAAAATCATTATGAATTGCTTCAACAACGTTTGCACATGCAACAAGAATTTGCTCAACTTTTAACAAGTTTGGCCCAACAGCACCAACAACCCTTTTCGGCAGCGTCGGCATCTTCACAAGCCGCCGCAGCAGCCGCTTTCAACAACCCTTCGTTGGGTGCGTCCACTTCAGCAGCCGCTGCTGCGGCTGCGGCAGCGGCCACTACAAATGCAGCTAAAAATTCTTTATCATCGTTTTTACCATTTTCAAATTGGTTTTTCTAATTTTTGTTTTTATACATACTATATGTATGACTATAGTACCTATATACATACATATGTATGTATATATTGTAAGTAAGGGTCTACAATCTCATGTAATTATAAATTAGACAATGTTTTCGAGCACCCCACAAACACATTATCAAATTGACTCTTTAAATTCAATTACTTAGTACAATTCAACATCCTTGGTGGTAGAATTCATATTCTAGATTTAAATTAAGGAATTGAAATAGGACCGATTTCAAGTTCCATTGTGCTCGAGCAGACCCTTTTAAAAAACTTATGAAGTTAAAGAAATCATATAAACATCTTTAAATCTTAAATCTTTAAATTTTATAGCTTTCTTATGATTTTGAATTTAATTTAAGTTTATCTTTTAACCTTTTAAATCTATTTTATATGAAATTAATTATTATTGCTCAAACAATACATTTTGTAGAATAATTGTGAACAAACATAAATTATTGTGTAACTAAAAGAATATTAATCTCTATTTAGGAAATAATAGAATGTATACGTACACATAAACACTATATACAGACATATTGAAAGATAAATTTACTCGTACGATTTTTATAAAATATGGTAAAACTTTGAAACTCTATTTTTGGTTTAATTTGAATAATTTCAATGATTGTATAGATCAGCGTTATTTGTTTCGTTCATAAACAAAGAAAAAATTATTTTATTTTTCGTTTTGATTTATGACAAAGATATTATGTACTTAATTTTTAATTTATGTATCGAATCTACTGCTTTAATATTGTGTTAATTCGGAACAAACAAGTCGAAGAAACAACAACTTCATTGTGTTTAAGTATAAAAATTATTAAAAAGGATATAAATCAAACCATATATTTTAAAAAATTTCTAATTTTAAGTAAATCAAATTGTTTATGTATGATTTCGTTTATCACTTTTGTTTGTGTGAATTTCATTTTTAATTTAAGTTATTTTACTATTCAATTGTTTTGTTTGTTCTTTCGTTGTACCTTATAATAGTGAACATTATTTTAATTTTTATCTTATTGCGTTTCTTTTTAATCAAATTTAATAACAACTATAGTTTTAAGTTTAAATTTATTTAAAAAACGAAATTTGTTCTCGTTGATTTGCTGTTTCCTTTTTGTTATATTGTTTTTTCTTTCTTATATTTTACGTTTTCAAGTTTCTTTTATAAAAAAAAAACTTAATAAAATTTTATAAACAAGCATTATTGTTTTAATTAAAAGTAGTACTTCAGACAAGTTTTTTAATAAAATGCCTATGCTTTTACAGGAATTTTTATTGCACTTACTAAAGAAGAAATTCTAATTTAATTGTTGTACTTGTAATACGTTTTTTAAATTTATCAAAGGTTTGTAAATTTTTTATAAACATTTATTACATCTAAAAATTAATTATGAATATAAGGATTTACTTAATCCCCACAAAATTATAAAATTTTGCTACTTTTATACATATACAGTTTTATTTGAATATTAAAAAATAACGTAAAAACATGGTAATGGAAAAAATATAAAATTTTTTCGAATACAACGAATATTTTTCATAAGAAATTTTTTATTTAAAAAAGTCCTAAGTTTACGAAACTTATACACAATACGAGATCTTTTTACAAAAATATATGAAATGTTTCAAAGTATTGTGAAAAGTTAGAAATTTTTCCCATAATAAATCGAAACAAAAGAGTTTCAATATATGAACGATTTTTATTAATACACTAACTTTTTATCTAAAACGAAATTACATGATAAAAATTTAAAATTACATTTATAAATAAGAAATCTGCCAAAATATTGAAAAAAGAAAACATACATATGAAACAAAAAATAATATCTTTATGCATACATACAATATATAAAAAGTAAATGAAATCAATTAAATATTAACAAAAAGAAATATGTATTACTCATGGTATATACTATGTACACACACATACATTAGTATCCTTTTACGAGTAAAATCTTACTTTTTTCAAATTAATATTAAATGGTGCTTTATTACCTAAAATTAAAAAGAGTCAACTTTTAATAATTTAAATTCAACTAAAATTTAACTAGAAACCATAAATGTTAAAATATGTTACTATTGGAAAATTCTATAAGTATATTAAAACATTATAGGAAACGTATGGAGTAAATAAAATACAAAAGTTGCACTTTAATTGAACAGTTTTCAATAGCTATGAAGGCTAAATACATTTTTATATGTTTAGTGCATTATTTATATATTTTATCAAAGGTTTATGAAACAAATTTTCATACAAAATTTATTCTGTAAGCCTTTGAAAAATTATTATTAATAAGATCCTTAGACTACTATCGTTTATAATTTTTTTAATACTTTAACAACCTTAACATATTCTTTTTAAATCCCTCTTTTATGGTAAATTATTCTATAGTAATTTAGTCCTTAAAAATTAATTTTTTAATGCTATTTTTAGTATAACATTATACTAGTATATATATCGATGTTGTGTATTGAACAGGAGAAAATACATAAATATTTAAACAAGTTAATCATAAATAACTTTATTAAAATATTCAACTAATTACTGATTTTTTTAAATTGAAAAGAATACATACATGTGTTTTATACCATTTATTATAAAGGTTTATATAATAAAAGTCAAGACTTAATATTTTTTCGATATTTCTTAAAAAACACGCAATTACATTATTTAAGTTAATTTTTCGTAAAATAACTTGTAAATTTAGTCAAATATTACATTCGTAGCGAAAAATACATCTTTTTATAAGATAAAATCAAATTGCCCTGCACTTTTTTGTTAAAAGCTTAAAAAAATTATCAAAATATGATTTGTAAAAGTTATTACACTGAATATTAAAATTAAATTAAAATTTTTAACGTTTTTCTAGTTTAAATATAAAAATACATTTTTCCTAAACATACACCATTACCATCTTGAGGGAAAAGATAAAACCGATAATTAAACATTGAGCTTTCGTAATGTAAATCCTGATGCAATGGGATAATGGGAACATGCATGCATGATATCGGTTGTTTTGGTAGACTTTTTTTTCGCACTATTCAGGTCTCGAGAATTTTCATGGGCAGGTCCAATATGCATTTGGCACAAACTGTGAGCAAAATCGCTTAACTAACGCTTTAATTAACTCTCGTATGGTGAAGTAAAGCTTGACTTGACTGATTTAATTTCAGCTTAGATAAAACTCTAATTATCAATATATGTATTCATATATTTTATGTTTGTTTTAAATTATTTATAAATAACCCATCAATATTATAACTTTATTAATACAAAAAAATATATGATATAGAAAATATTTAAAATACACTATATATATTACAACAAAAAGCAATCGATTTATATAAAGATATTGAATACAGTTTTGATAAAAAATTTTATATTTGTAAAAACATAAAATAAAAATAAAAGAAATTAAATAAGTAAAACGTATTGAAATTCAACACCGCACAATAATATACAACAAATACGTACGTACATCGTTTTTTTTTTAATAAAATAAAAAATGCTAAAAGATTAATAATACATAATATTGAAATAGATGTTATACAAATAAAATATTGAATAAACTAAAATAAAGAAAAATATTTATTTAAAAAATAAAATAAAAAACATGAAACGTTAACACAGCAAAATGCGCATATCTTTGATATAATAAATATTAAAAACACACGGCAAAGAAAATTTAAACGTTTTTATGTGAAATCAATGTATATTCACTTTTATACTTTTACACTGAGACAAAAAAGAAAAAAAATATAATGTTTATATATTATAAATAAGATATGAAAAGAGACATTTTTCACATTATTGAAATTTAAAATAAATACGAAATTTTACTATAGAAATGTTGTTTTTTTAGTGACCTCAGTAGATTTTTCTGAACAACTATTTAACTTTTGTTTAAAACTACACTTGATTTTTCTACCAGGTCCTGGTTTAACGATTATTGCAAAGTTATACCATTAAAAATTGCTATTCATTTGAAATTCCTTAACTTGGATTATAATATTACATACATAGTATGTATGTAGTTTAAGCCGAACATAATATAAATAAATGTATTTTCTTGCAGTGTAGTTTTTATTAGTATTCTCATTAAATTGTTCTATTTCAACTTCATATAATATGGTTGTGTAAAAAGCTCTTGGGTATATAAAAGAGATAAATAATAAATTCAAGAAGTCACTGAATATTATTAATTAATTATTTATAAATGATTTGTGTGTTTTATATCATAAGTAACAAAAATTTGCAATTATATTAAAATCAAGAAAAATAAAATAAAAAAAATCATTTAAAATCTATACTTAAATATCAATTTATATGTTTAAACTAAATAAATGTTAGTGAAAATCAATAAATAATATTTGTTATTCGTACAATTCTTAAATTTTAAGTAGTCAAATGCATTAATATTAAAACCAAATAATTATTTAAAATCTTAACAAATCCCCCTTAAATTCCCAAGATATGACTGCATATATATTAAATATATGTATGTATATTATGAAAAATCCATCTTTTTGTGTCTATAATTATTAATATGTATTTAAAAACTATATTGAAACTTATTTGAAATAAAATTATTTGAAATCCAATAAGTATTAAAAACACCACCTAATCTTTAAAGTTTTTAAGAAAGATATACATTTTAATTACAAATAAATTCCTTTAACTATGGCGAACAATTTTAATTAGACACAACAAACAAAAAATAACAATTTAATGCAATTATGGAAAAAATCACACCAAACAAAACTCCCCTATAATAAATTATTTACTTATGTATTATCTTAAACAATTATTAAAAAACAGTTTAATAAGTATAAAATTCATATTGATCAATAAAGAAATGAAAATTTAGTAAATTTCAAAATTTTGAGTATTATTGCCAAATTTAAATAATCTAACAACATTATATGTATCAGATACATATGTATCAGAGAATTTTTTATTTTTATTGTTCCTATTTCGTAGCTATCTAGTCCCATAAAAAAGTTGTCTTTTGAATTTTGTGCAGTTTTGAAAAAGTGAATATTATACAAAAATTATTATATGTATTCGATAAAATAAAGCTAAAATGGCAACATTGCTGCTGCAAAAATGCAACAGTGCTTTTTATGCATCTGTTTTATTCCAACTGTTTTTTATATAATTTTTCATTCTAATAAGAAATGAACGCGTCGGTTGCATTTGTTAATATTAAAAAGTGTAGAAATTGTTTAATTTAAAAAGATAAATGTTTGTGATAGTGTTTATTTTAATATTCAAATATTTAAAAAATTTTAAATTATAAACTTGGAAAACGTTTAAAATAATTGAGGTGGACTTAAGGTAAGTTTTACTTCACATAAAATGGCAGAAAAAGATTTTGGCAAAAAGTGTTTTTCAAATTGTGTGTTATAACTTTTCAAAATTAACATTTTCTATCCTATTAAAAATAAAATAAAAATAATGTTAACTATCAACCATAATTTGTATGCCGCTACTCTTACCACTTCCTGATTCGAGGTCAAATACGAAAAAAGTAAATAAATGCTTTACCGGTAAGTGTCTATGATATGGAACACGATCCACCAATATTACTTGCTACGTACAGTAAATATCACAATACGGCAAATACCAAAGTATATTAATAAAGTAGCGACATCTCTTGTTGTACAACAACATCTACAACAACCACATGTATTTTGTTTTTGGAAAATTTAAGATTGTGTCAAAATAAAATTTCCTTGAAAAACAATGTGAACAAAACATAAATAAAAAATATTACTTTTAAGCTAAAGATATTAACGATTTAATTATATTATTATATATTATACAATTTATTACACTTTTAAACTACTTTAAAACCACTTTTAATTCACTTTTTAAACTTTTCACAAATTTTAACAAATAGCAAAACACAATTTAAAAATGGCGACGTAAACAATGTTAACAATTTTCAAAACAAACTTTGACAATTTGCTTCATTTATCTAGTTTAAAAAAAATAGTCAGCTGTTCAAGTGATGCTACTTTATTAATTTACTTTGGCAAATACCACGATATATATTTAGGAAAACAATTTTAGATCCGTTTTATAAATGTGTTTTTTTTTAAGTTAGAAGTAAATATTTCAAAATATTTATAGGCGCCATTAATATTATACATATTTTAGATTTAAAATAGTACCTATGCACCTTTTCAGCACATTTTCAGCACATTTTAAAATTGTAAAAATTACTTATTAGCTTTATAATAGAGGATTATTTTTTTTTTAATTTAGTCTCTATCAAAAAAATCAATATAGTTTGTCACTATGTAACAAATCACCAAACAACAAATAGTCAATAAATTTATTGTTCTTTTAAATACGTGCAGTTTATAGGCCGGTTAGGTACTAGGGTGATTAATTATTCGACATTTTCGAAAAACCTGTTTTCGAATAGTTAATATTTGAAAAAAATCGGTTTTCGAATAGTTAATATTTGAAAAAAATCGGTTGGCATTTTTCAAATTCAGAAAAAAACCGGATAACCGGTTTTTTATTTTAATGAAAAAAATTAACGTTTTAATTTAAATTTGATGTATAAAACATAGCCCGAACTAATTTTTAGTAGTCTAAAAGATTATAAATTTAGATCTAGTCGTCTGATTTACATTATTTCTTTAATGTAAAAAAACGGAAATAAGAGGGACACTTCTGTTAAACATAAGGAACTATGTTATCCAATCTTATTCTAAAATCCCTGTTTATACAATTTCCACAGGCATTAAAACACTTCCATAATATTTTAGCCGCAAATTAATTATTATAATTAATTTGATTGACAAAATTTTATCCAATAAATTTTACAAATTAAATTTTTTAATTAATAAGAAAAATCAGAAAAGTTTAACCAAAGGTACATTAGAAAAATATACTCTAGTTCCAGGACTCCAATATTTTTAAAATTTAGACGGGCTGTATTATTATTTACTTCAAAATTTAATTTAAGTAATCTTTGAATACAAAGCAAATAAAAGTATTCGAAACCGGTTTTTAATAAAACCGGGATATTCGATATTCGAAAAATCAACATTTAGAAAAAACCGACACTAGTAAAGCACAAAAAACCGTTTTCTTAACCGGTTGAAAAATCGAGTCGATCACCCTATTAGGTACCCAGCAAAAAAAAGCGAAAAAGAAGTAGAATTTTCACCACAAACAACATACATAAAGTACTTCCAATTTTGGTGAAAAACCATATCATAGCAGTAACGGAATATGTATGTGTACCACCGTCTAAATCTCCTGTAATTTCAAATCTACTTATAAGTATATATGTGTGTATACATTCATGTACAACCCACTAAGCATTTCTGCTATACATACATACATATATTCAATATCTCCAAAGATTACAAAAAAACGTTTCCTTTAAATTGAGGATTTGTTTCTTTTTAGTAGTATCTAGATGAAGGCCAGTAATGAGTTTTATTTGTAGTTCTGGTTTCTGTTTAAAGTATGCCAAATCTAAATACTTTCTCTCTTTTGTGTATATTAGAGGCAGAGACAATCACTCAAATGTGATTTGGTTACAATTTAATTAAACGGATTTCTAAATTGACATGAAAATCAAAGACAAATAAAAATTTCCCCATAAGGTCATGTAGAATTTCGTTTGATGTTGTTTCCATGCAACTATTCGAAACATGTGTTCGCTTACAGAGTGCTATAGATACATATATATTAAAGTCTGTGAATTTTAGGTCCATGTTATATGGCAGTAAAGTTAAATATGAACCGATACTTATAGAATTTGGGATGGAAATTTTGTTTATAAAAAACTTATTTATGCCGAATTTTATCAAAACATGTACTAGTATATATGTATAACTGAATACTGTCATTCAAAGTCTCAATCAATTTTTAAAATTTTAATTAAAAAATAATCCCTTTTTCTCCAATAGTTAAATAATAGAAAATCTAATAAGAAAGTCGACTTTCTTTAATGTCGTGGAATGTTAATTGTTCAAAATAATACACGTAAATAAAATAAACATTGTCATGTGTCAATAGAAATTTTCCAAGTCAGTGGTTCTATTTGCTCATGTACTACTTATTCAGTATCCAATACATATCGTTCAATGTTCAGCAACTCATTATCCTGAACGTATGTTCATGTATGTAGTTCCTTAGATTTTCTTCCAAAACATGTCAAATGATTAAAATCGTCAGCTTCCATTTTATGACCACCCTAACAAACATATGTTTTATTATCTATTATGTTGTTACACTGTTCTGCATTTAAGGTGACGATAACATTATAGTACATATTGTTGTTTCGTTTAAATGTTATTTTAAAGTGTTGGTGTACGTATTTATAAATTCAAGCTAAACTGTTGTATACAAATTATTTATACTTCATTGAGTCTATTCTAATATTTACACATACATATATGTATATAAAAATAGGAAATTCACATTAAAATAAATAAATCTAAAACAAATGCCTTAAAACCAGAACACTGTTGAACAAATAAAAAAATACAGATTATTGGTTAAACATATTCCTCATCAAATTGCTATTATTTTATGCATTAAAATATCATGATAAAGAAACTACTGGCAGTTTAGGGTTGTAAAAACTAAAGCACTTTAAAAGATTTGAAACATTTATATTTGTCCATAAATACTACTTACCATACATATTTTCGAATATCCTTTAAATTTTAAATAAAAAAGAAAATAAACAATCAATAGTAAAACATAAGAAAACAAAAACTTAACAGTAAATAAAGACAAAAAACAGGAAAAGGAAATAGGTATAGTGTAGCAAAAACTCGTTTAGGAATACAATAAATAGCCTTTTTCAATTTGGGGTTTAAATAAAACACAAGCAATATTTTTGTTTTTGTAGTTGTTCTTTTTTAAGAGGGGAGTTTAAGTTTTAATCGAATCTCCACTAAAGTTTCAGACAATGTTTTAATTTTTTATTTAAAGAATTTGTTAAGATTTACTTTAATTATATTGAGTCATATTCTTATGCAATTAATACATATTGATTGATGGTAAATCAAATGAATTGATAATTTTGTTCTCAACATTTTAAAATCATTTCGAATACATATTTTTAGTTGTTAGTTACTTAAAATCATTTTTTAATACTTAAATTATTTACTAAATATTGTTATTTTTTTCTTTTATATTTAATAATGAAATTTTATTTGAGTATGTAGTTTTAATGTTAAAAATTGTTGTGTGTTTTTCGGTTTTATATCACTTATTTGGCTAAATAATTTTAAAAAAATCAATGACTCTCGAATGATGGCAAATTCGAGCTTTCTTATTGACTTTATTGTTTTTGGTTTTTTTGGGCAACTTTTTGAATCATTTATTTCAATAATTATTTATAATATAGTGTTAAATTGTATTAAACTTAAATTTGACACATTTATTTATTAGTTTTAGTTGTAAACTGTTATTATATTTACGATGCAATTAAAACTACTTTATTTATGCATAACTTTATATTTATAAATGTTATAGTAAATTATTTTTTAATATTTTTTTATGTATTGTTAAAATTTTTAATGAATTTAACATGTTTAAAGATTTTCGTAGTTTTTTTTTTTTTTTTTTTTTTTTGTAACAACACCGACTTACCATACTAAAATATAATATATATCTTTTAGTTTTAAAATTTAATACTAATATTTTTGTTTCACGCTTATAACTTTATACCTTTTATCATTCTTTCCATAAAGTGGAGCTCAAACATTTCCATCCAAATGGGACACTTTAATAACAAACATCTTTTAAGGATTTTAGCGCAAAAGTGGAAATTTTGAAAATTATTTGCTAGATTTCACTAATTTAATTTATTTGAAATGTATTTACGTTTTTGAGTTGTCAAGCTAACGATAAAAGCATATGCTCTGAATTTCTGAATTATTACCAAAGCTACAATTTTCTATGACAATCCAATAACTCAATTCTTAAAAGGGTTTCTTCTTTGTCCCATTTCTCATTTCCCGTTCCTTTTTTCATTAATTATATTTATGTTTTAAAAATGTTTTCCATTTAAATAGTCATAACATTATATGCGTTTGTTTTAAATATTTTTAAATAAACTGTTCATATTGTTGTTTGGTTGAGTTTGTTGTAATTATTCCCCTTCCATTGGGAAACAACGAAGGAATCATTACAACGATTTTTGACATTTCAGTAGGACTAGAAAATTTTGTATTTTTTAAATTTAAAATAAGTATTTTAAAAAGCGCTAAGCTTTAAAAGTTTTAAATTAGTTCACTTGTTTTCCTATTTTGATGTCTTTTTTATTTTTTATTATTACCGTGTGCGCCTTACATTGTTAGGACTTCTTTATTTTGTTTTATAATTGTATTTTGTAAATATTATAAATATTGTATTATTTATTTTAGTTTAAATCTAAAGTTAATAGTTTTTTATGTAATACTTTCCGGTAAAATATTTTGTATTTTCTTACCTGCTCTTTTGATTAAATTAACTGTTGATACTCTCGGAGCTGAAACTTTTTGATCTAGTATTGTGGGCTTCATTTTCGCGATTCATTCCTTCCTTAGTTAATACATTTGATACTTAGTTAGTTTGTCTTATATTCTTGGTATACAAAATAAACCACATTTAATACCATAATTTTCTTAAATTGTTAACTGATTCTATTAATTAAAAATTGTTCTTCTTGTTGTTTTCTTGTGTAATTTGTTATTATTGGGATAAACGCTGACACATGAAGTTAGGGTTTAAAACTTTATGTTTGTGTGTAATTTTTTAATAATATTTTCCAAAACAATTTGAATTATTATCAACGATATATTACACTGAACCTGCTTTTAAAAAATGAACTTTCATGTGCGTGACTTTTTTAGTTATTAGTATTTTAAACTTACTCCTAAAACATTTTGAATAAGACACTCAGCAGAGTAAAAATCATGAGTGAAACTAACAAACAGAATCACACACTTCCAGGACAAATTTTACGAGCGGATCTAATGTACATATGTATGTATGGAAAAATTTTGACACTTTTGTTTCGTAAAAATTTATCATCGGTTGTTATTCCCTAGATCTATCATTAGGTATATTTTGAATTATTTCCTTGTTTAAAACGATGTTGTTGTAATGTCCTTGATTTTTGCATCTTATTCTTAATCCATTTGGGCTCGTGGGGTTTTTCAAGTATCGATGAATCTCCTAAATTAGTTTTGTTGATTTTTGCAGTTGTTGTCTTATTGGGTTTTAACGATTTATGGCTTAAATATAAATTATTTATATGTATGTACTTAAATTAAATTTATGGAATTGAGTTTTGTTATCCGCTATCATGTACTTTGTTAAATTAAATATGTTGATGTCCAAATGCTATATTTTATTTTTTATTTTATATAAATAATGATTTTGTTGCTTTTTTTTAAATTAAACGTTACCGTTAATTAAACTTTTTCGAAACTACATGTTTCCTCTTTTTAGCTTAAAAAATAATAACTCCGACGTTTGAAAATATCGTTATTAATTAAAATTAGGTCTTGTTAATACAATAATTTAAACAAGTTGTTTTGTCATCTTCTCCAAATTGTAAGCTTTTTTTAGATGTTTAAAATTATTTTTGTGTATCTCGTATTTTGATGCAGTTAATAATTAATTAATTTTTTTATATTGTTATTACTTGGTTTGCTACATTTTGTTGTAATAAATATTTGGTGATATAAGCTAATAAATAAATATATATTATGTTTATTTTATAACTTTAACATTTTAAATATTTTAGTTTTATTATTATTATTATTATTTTCATTTAAACCAGAAGGTCAGCGCCTTTATATTTTGTTTATTTCGAAGTTTATCTATCAGCTGTTTGTTTTTATTATTTATTATATATTCAAGTCCTTTTTCGCCTATTATTTAGTAGAATCTATAGAATGTATTGTTTGTATATAAATTGTTCTGTTTTAAAGCTGATATTATGTATGTGTTTTCGTATGTATATACTTATATTGGTTAAATTTAAATATTTTTAATATAATTTGTTGTATTAGTAATATTTTCTCTAAGTTTTTGTATGTATATTTATAGTTGTTAATTATTTCAATTTGAAACTTCTACTAAAAAATTAATTTACTTTGTTATTTGTTTTTATTTTTGTGTTTTTTCCGGACATTGAGGGAAGCAAATAAATTATTTGTTATAAGAACAGATAACTTCTCAAATCGGTTACTCCGATCGGCTTTCTCAAAATGTCTGTTTTTTATTTTGGTTGGTGGTTATACATACATATGTATGTATAACATATGTACGTATACATATGAATTATATATAATAGAGTTCGTCTATGATTTTTTACTCTATGTCGTAGTCAGCTACATTGCGTTGTTTATATTATAGCTAAATTTAATGTTGCTACCTTTTAATTGGTTTCTATAAGTTATCTTAAATTAAATTAAAAAAATCAATAAAAACTTTTTTCTCAGCTAGACAAACTTGTAGATTTTTTTATTATCTAGCTGGGTTAAAAGGCTTTTATTGCACTGATGGTCGCGTTTGTTGTTATGTATAATTATGTCATGTTTCTCAACATAGGAATATACATTTATGTTTGATTGATTATTAAAAATAATATTAACTTATCGCTTTAGGGCCTTATTCACTATTAAATTTATCAAAGGTTTATTAGACAAATAAACCTATAAACCTTTGATAAATTGTTATGAATAAGGCTATTAGTTTTTTTCTATATTGAATATGAAATTGTTATATGAAAATTGGAGAAAAGGGGCTAAATAATATGGAATATTATAAAAACTTAATTTAGTCGCATCAAGTAATAAAATATTGAAAGCTAATTTATATAGTTTAATTCATTATGAGCATTCGTAAGTTAATTATATTGTTTTTTACTACATAGTAGTTAATTTTAGGTTTTTAATATGGTAATAAAAGTATATTTAAGCCTTGGAAATAAAAAGATTTTAACGATCCTTCTTATATACAGATTGGGACAAAAAGTTTAAAAGTCTAAAATTATGAAACTAAACAATATTAAACATGTAGCCCTAAAGGAAACCTTTGTATAAAGTTCGGTTTTTTTCTTTCTTTAGTTAAAGAGAAACTTCCGTATTAGATGTTGGAGTGGAATGTTTGATAACGATTTTTTCTATTTTTAATTAAAACGTTTTTTAAAAAATAAATTTTTTTCATATTTGTTGACCGTTATTAAAGTCTAATTGTCGTTAACATACATATTTATACTACGTAGATAGATAGAAAGAGGGTGGTGGGTTTTGGTTTACGATTTTATTTTGCTGTGTGTTTCGTATTAGGATTCTCATGTAGATAGTATTGATGACAACAGTGGGTGGTATGGTTGATGGAAGAAACTAAAGATTAGAGAGAACAGTGAATAAACAATATCAGGAAACTGAAAAGCGTAACGATGACAACTGAAGAAAAATTATAGAAGAGAAATAAAAAATGCCAAGTTTTATTTTTAAGTTTTCATGAGTATAGTTTTTTGTTGTAAGTTTAATTGGATTTTTTTATTAATATATATTTCAAGATTTGCTTTAAAGAAATTATGCAAATTGTTTGATTTTGTTATAATTAGTATGTTAGGTAAAGTAAAGAAAAAAATATACTTAATAGTAATAAACTTATGATTATGGGAAGCGGATTAAATGTTTTAATCGATACTGATACTTAACATCATTGGTAAGATATTTGACACTTCATTAAGGGGGCTGCCCTTCAGCAGTCAGTTAGATAGTCATTATTTGGATCAACGTTTGGTTGTCATTATCCATCTTATTTTCATATCGATTGTTCTTAAATTCTCTCAATGTGTTACTCTCATAATTATCTCGTAATAGATTTGCCAAAATTTAGCTTGCAACCATATCACTAAAACCAGTAGATGCTGTAGGATGGGTCTTTGTAAGATTTCTCTTTGTGTTCTTCTCTTTAATTTTGATAGAAATTTGTTTGTTCTTGAAGGTTCTTCTTGTAGATCATGGTAGTTTAGATTGTAATTGTAATAATAATAGTTATTATTTTTATAAAACTCAGTATGACAATGAAATAACGGGGGCTTATGTGATTCTTCATGGTTTTCATCGGGTGAATTCGATTGGCCGTTAAACTCGGATTTATCGGTAGGATCTAGGGAACTATTATAAAGATAATCATCTAAAAAGTCTCTATGACCATCTATTTGTCTGCTGTTGCCAGTGTAGTTGTTGTTGTTGTTGTTAGAGTGGTTGGAATTTGTATTAAATTGTTGATGATATTGATAACTATTATATTTTTGTTGTTGTTGATGTTGCAACTGTTTTTGTTTAATATTTGGGTATTTTTGTGGTTTACGATAATATTACATAATAACACACTTTCCCTTTTCAGCCCACGGATTATTTTTTTTGTCTGGAGCGTTTATAAGAGGATCATTTTTCTCATTCTCCTCGACAAAAGAACGCATTCTGAAATTAAAAAAGTTTTAAAAACAATGGAAGTTAATTAAATATATAAATTTAAAAAATATATTTAATAAAAAGTCACAAATATGTACTATGCTGTTATACGTCATATAAATTTGATAATTTAAACTGTTATAATCAATAATATTGAAAACGTTATAAAGTGCAATTGGACTCATCAAATGTGGTCATTAGTATTTGAATAATTTGTTACTTTTTTCATAAAAAACCTTATTTAAATTTTGAAAATAAAATTCAAAATTATTAGAGTATAAAAATTTAAAATAAATTGAAAAATATAATTCTTTATTTCAAATAACACTAACATTTATGTAGAATTTACTGTATGTATGTATTGACAATTTGCACGTACATAATACATACATACATAGATATGTATCCAAAATAAATAATATTGGGTGGAAAATAAATAAGGTCATTTTATGAAATCAAAAATCTAGCAAAATGTTAAAAACTCATACTTTGTTTAATTCTTGTTAACAAGTTTGTCGTATAAAAACGTTTTTCTTGCCTAAACTAAAAATAGCATCTCTTTTGCTCTTTAATAGTATAAATGCAGACTCAAAGCATATCAAAAATCTATACACGTTATTTTACTTAATATGTACATACATTAGAGCTGCTAAAAAATATCGATTTCGTTCGGATGGGTCTTATGTTGTTCATTAGTGTCTAAAACTAACTGGTGTTAAATTTTAAATAGATTTCCTTCACGGGTTCTCGTTATCCGATTGGACTAAAATTTAACTCCAGTATGTTTTACAAAATAAGGCCCATCCAAATAAAAACGATATTTTTTGGGCACCTCTAATGTAAATACATAGGGATATGTGGATGTCTAAATCTTTACACATTATTCGTTGCCCATTCTGGTAAAAAAAACTAACTGGTGTTAAATTTTAAATAGATTTCCTTAACGGGTTCTCGTTATCCGATTGGACTAAAATTTAACACCAGTAAATTTTACAAAATACGATATTTTTTGGTCACCTCTAATGTAAATACATATGGATATGTGAATGTCTAAAACTTTACACATTATTCGGTGCCCATTCTGGTAAAAAGCTAAATATAGTAAATTGTGGCCAATCTAAGTGATTTCAAAGCAAGCGACCACAACTTTTCGAACATTTTTTTCATAAAAATTATAAAACAAATAATCGTAGCAAAAAGTTGTACAAAGTTTAAAAAGGTTTTTATTAATATGTACGTATGTATAAGAAATTTGTTAGATTCTTTGCAACGCATGTAATAAAAATATTCAAATATAGAACTACACGAGAAAATATTAAGTAAAAATCTAAACACAAAGCACGTATAAAAATTGAAAACGCCAAAGGGAATAGATGCTTTTTATTTATTTTTTACGCCAATCAAAAATTATCTCTAGAATGGTGACATTATATAATTTTATACCAATCTGATTTTTTATAAGAAAACATTTTTTTTGCCATTGTACCATGTTCTGTTTTAACAAATTTATTATTGTAATATTGTAGGCTTTATATATATGTATGTACATACACACAATTATATAAGTATTTATGTCTGTTCATACATACAAACATGTATTTGTAATAAATTTTTATTACCCTGCTGTTTGTAATTGCACGTGAAAAATATTTTTACTATAAAACAGAAAATTTTGCCATTTTTCTGAGTTTATTTGATTCAATAGTGTTATAACTCAAAAACACATAGTAAAGATTTTATAACTAAGTTTTTTAGTTAACGTTTTAAGTATATACATACATAAGTACATATGAAATTGTTTGATATTCGGTTAGATTTTATCATGGAATGCAGTAGTGATTGAAAATTAAAACTTTCTATAATTTAAAACCCCAACTACACATCATTGCATATAAACTTTCTGTGAGATGCGGAATACACATCCGCAAGTTTTCATATTTACACTTAAGAAATAATCATATTATTTTGGTATGGTTGCAAACCACATAGACCCACGGCACGGACAATCATCGGCTTCTTCCACACAACACGAACGCCATTCAGTTGCAATGTTAACATGAATGAAACAATCTAAATCCACTAAATGTTCATTTAAAGCAATTTTCTCTTTTAGTTGACTCATTTAAGGATTTAACGGATTAGAAAAATTAAACCAGATGTTGATATAGTTCTCATCTATATTGAAATTTAATTTTTATTCAACTAATATTCGTGAAAACATGATTTTTAGTTTTTATGTTTATAACAAAAAATCGATTCCACACAGAAAATAATGGATAAATTTGAAATTTAATAAAACTGTATAGCCGTCGGTTGAAAAAACACGAATTTTGGTATTTTGTAGTAAATGTGAGATATGTACATATAAATAAGTAAGTACGATTTCACACTAACATTCAAATCTAAGGAGGTTGTGAAAATATTGGCTTTGGCCAACATGTTTGTACGAGTATGTATAGCTATAAACATGTCAAGTAGATTGTTACTTTTTTTTACTTTACAACCATGTTCTTTATGTGTATAGATGTTTGTAAATAAATACATTAGGGCCATAACCAAAATCCCACAACAGTACATTATGCAAAAACATCTTAAAATATCTGCAGTCCTCACCACATGTTGACGGATAGGTAATATTTTTATTTTAAAATAGCCAAAGCTGTATTTTTAATATTTTCTATTTGAAACCGGTATTTTTATGTAACTTTTGCGGGCATCAATTAACATATTCAACGTTAACGTAATTTCTACGCTTATACATATTTCATTCAGTTCTTAAAATTGGTATTTGTACAGAAAGAAGAATTCTATTTTCATTTTAAAACATTTTTCCTATAGTTACCAATTTGGACAAAATTGTGTAAACCCATAAATAAATTATTTTTCTCATATAAATTTGGAAAACTGTTACAACCCTATAGATTTAAAAGTGCTTAAACACTTCCTAAATAAACAGTGCCATAACTTTTTGTGTTAAATATAGTTACAATTTTCTTTTTCCATAAAATTCTTCAAACTAATATTATCAGAAAGATCATACTAATTAAAATTTTAAAAAAGAAAAATCTATCTTTAATTTTTCTTAAATTTTTCATTATGTTGCCATATTAATTTGTTTTAATTTTGTTTAAATTTTAGAAAATAAACAAGAATGTCAGTTTATCATTCAATTTGTGATCTGTTGTTTGATTACAAAGTTTACATGGACACACAAACGGAAACTACAATGCTAGACAAATATTTCTTATTTGGGTTATAAATTGTAAACAGTTTAATTTTACAATTTTATTAATAGTCAATATTGTTTCTAACTTTTATATTTGTTTCACATTAAATATAAAATTGTTTCATGACGTATACTTAATATTTATTTAGTAGACAGAATTCTTGCACTAATTTTATTCATTATACGCCCCAGATATTCGTACATTTAATATTACATTGATTAGTGAGTGCTGTTACAAATGCTAGTTAAAGGAAACAATTATTGATTTTTTCTCAAAACGAATAATTAAATCCGGATTTCCCATCTCATTATTCAACTAGTTTTACATCAGTTATCTTTAGAATTACTATAATTCACAAGAACTTTAATTTTTAGGAGTATACACATTTAATTATTTATAAACCTTTTATATCTATAGAATAGGTTAATTATGAACACCTGACTGCAGTCCTTTGCTTTGAATTATATAAAAAAATAAATTCGTGGTTAAATAATTCATAAAAAATAAAAACAAAAGTATATAAAAAACTTCTATTGTTGCCTTAATATAATATACATTTAAGCTGTAGTTGTTATTCAAAAGTGTTTTGTTAACTAAATTATGAGTCCATACATGCATCCATCCGAATAATATATAAATATGCAAAAAAAAAAAAAAAAAATACATTACAATTACATTGCAGTCATTTTATAAGTACATACTTTAAAGAGTGATACAAAAAGAGAAGCTCTAACAAAAATTGCTTACACATGGGTTGTAGGCAAATTGTATAGCGAATGAAAACTAAATGGAACTAACATTATAAAGAATGTAACAAAGTTGAAGGTGAAAACGTTTATAAAAGAAAAGAAAAAATTTAACCCCATGTAAAGACTATATGACATCGTATAGGACATGTTGGAAAAAAGTGGTTTATATATTTTTAAGTGGTACTACACAGTAATTATGTAAAGTACTCACATGCTTAGATACAAGAAATTGTTTTTATACATTTTTCTTAAGAGGCAAATTGTGTGCCACAGCTACATACAACTTGAAGGATTTGAATTTTTAGCACAGTTTAAGAGAAAAACAATTTAAGAAAAATATTAAAATGTTAAAACATTTAATAAAAATTGTATTGATTGGCACAACTTGAAAAGAAATAATATTTCAAAAATACAGAATTGTATTTATATTTAATTTTCATTACTATTCTTACCTTTAACGAATACAGAAACACTTAATTAAGTAATTTAAAATATATTAAATTATTATTTTTCATATCTTAGTGCTTGATTAAAGATTTAAACAATTGATAGCCACAACTACGTGCTCGTTTATAAAATTTAAAAACAACAAATATTTTCTTATTCAGCATACAATGTATATCGTTTTTATGCAAGTTTCTCATGTAACCTTTTCTATTTGTTTGGATTTAAAACGTGCATAAAAGAATTTCTACCCCACAGAATATCATTGCTGGAGGCACGTATTGTCAATACAAATAAAAACGATTTATTTTAAGTTTTGTGAATATTCACAAATATATCGATATAAAATATTTGATTCATAAGAAATTTAGGTTTGAGAGTTAATTTGATGTATGCATTCTATGTTACTTAATTTTATGTAATTTTTCCCTATTTTAATGAAATTTTCATAGTTAATAACAGAAAAATTAACATGTACATACAGTAACATATATATATATATATATATATATATATATATATATATATATATATATATTTGTTCAAAAATTAGATAATAATATGATAAATATGATATCATATCATACGA